GGCTTGGGCGGGGCGGGGTCCCAGGGGATCAACAGGGCTGGCGGAGCGAGCAGTATGGCTGCTCTCAGTCCTGCCCTCAGAGGCTCCAGCAATCGGCAATCGCTGCGAGCGCCTCCGAGAGAAAGGTGCCCTCAAGTTCTGACCGATGCCAGACAGTCCCATTTCTCCCGTATGAGTCTGGGTCCCCAGAGACTCGCCCAGAACTGGAGCTCAGAGCTTGAGACTCCCTCCCGATTGAAAAAGACAATCGTGTCCTCAGCCGCCACCCCTCTCCGCATGCACCTCCGCACCTTTGTATTTTACTTCCGCACCGCACCTCCTCTGAGTCTCGGTATGCTTTTCTCTTTCCTTCTAGTTGTAGAATTTCCACTCAGCCAGCCTTCCTGTGGTTCTGGATGATGTCCGTTCCGTCTTTTAGTTGTATTTTTGAAGTGGTTGTGCGAGGCAGCAATCTCCGGTGTTTACCTATGCCGCCATCTTGGTTTCTCCCCCAAAGGGGTATTTCTAATGCTCACACTTGATCCTGTCCCTTCCCTGCTCCTCAAAGCCCTCCCATGGCTTGCAGGTCCTGCGTGATCTGGCCCCCAACATCGTCTCCTAAGGCTGTCCCCGCACTCCTGAGCACAGCCAACCTCAGGCCCTTTGCACTTGCTGGTCCTTCTGGCTGGAATACTCTTCCCCCAGACCTCCAAGAGGCAATCTCCTTTTCACTGCCCAGCGAGGCCCTGCCCTTCCTCAACTGCTCTCTAGTCTCACCCAATCCCGTTTTATTGGCTTCAGTCTGTGTATGACTGAGACTTCCCCGCTGCTGGTTGTCTGGCCCGGGTATTGCACCTTCCCACTGAATGTGAGCTCTGAGCGAGCAGGGCCTTGTCCATTTGCCACCCTGACGTTTCCCCAGCATCTTAGCCAGCGAGTCCAGTAGGAACAGAATCCGAGCCACAAATGTAGCTTTACATGTGCTATTTAATCAATTATGAAAAATGTAAAAGGAGAAAACAATTTAAACCAGTATATCCTTCCAACACATAACCAATATAAAAAATTGAGACATTTTACACTCTTGTCTTACTAAGTCCTTGCAATCTGTTGTTTTGCCCTCACAACATGTCTCAGTTTGGACCAGCCATGTTTCAAGTGCTCAATAGCCACACGTGGCTGGTGGCTCTCATGACTGACAGGATGCTGGGTCCTCCATGGGCACTTGATAACATTTGCTGAATCAGTGATGAACCATGAATTTTGGTGATGAGATATGATGTTGGAGAGGCCATGCCTCTGCTTAGAACCCTTCCCCTTAGCCCTTCCTGTGGCTCGTGTCCCTCAGGGCTCACCGAAATGTCACCTCCTCAGAGAGCCCTCCAGGATCAGCCCCTTCTGAAGTAGCTTTCCAGGCCCTCTCTGTCACCTCACATTGCTGTCATTATCTGTCTAATGCTTTCCCTACCAGGTGTTTCTCTTTTGTCGGTATTTCCACACGACAGTCTTCACATTACAATAAGAAGCAATTCCTGTCCCTTTAATCTCACTCAGAGCCTGCACTGAAGCCTGCAAGGCTCCCAAGTTCTTTTTTTTAATTGATTTCAGAGAGGAAGGGAGAGGGAGAAGCATCAATGATGAGAATCATTGATCGGCTGCCGCCTGCACGCACCCCTACTGGGGATGGAGCCGAAACTGGGGCATGTGCCCTTGACAGGAATCGAACCTGGGACCCTTCAGTCCGCAGGCCGACGCTCTATCCACTGAGTAAAACTGGCTAGGGCAAGGCTCCCAATTTCGCCAGCTCAGCTGCTCCAGCCACCCGGCCTCCTCCTCGATCCTCAGACCTCCAGAAACACTGTCATCTCCAGGCCTTTGCACCAACTCCCTGCTTCCTCTGCCCAAAATGTTCTCCCTTCCAAGGATCTGCAGCTGCTCCCTCACTCTATTTGGGTCTTCACTCCAGAACTTTCTCTATGCCCTTAACATACCAGGCCCAGGGCTGTTGTCCTTAGAGCCGCCTGCCTGCGTGTGGGCCCTTGGCTGGCATCTGGGAACTTGGACTTCAGGACAGTTCCCACCATTCCCTGAGGAGTGGCTCACATGGCTGAACAGTTTGTGAAATGCTATTGTTTATCGGAACACCCGCTTTCCTCCTGAGGATCTGGAATTTTGGTCCATGTCAGACAGGGGACTTCCGTGGCCAGCCCCGGGGGAAAGCCTGGGCCCCGAGACTCTAGGGGCTTCCCTGGCAGACACTCCCCATGTGCTGTCACAGGTCACTGCTGGGGGAAGGAGCACTCCCTGTGCCTCCGCTGGGCGACTCTGGGACACTTGTGCCCGGTTTCCTTTCCATGTGCCTTTATCCTTTGCGATTTTGCTTTGTATCTTTTCACAATAAATCCCAGCTGTGTACCAAGTCTTCCCAGTGAATCATCGAACATGGGAGCCCTGGCACAGTCTCCCTTCCCAATTCTTTTCTCCTCCTTCCACTTACCACCACTGGCGATGCTCGAATATTTTAATTATTTATCCTGCCTATTATCTTCCCCGCACGGCAGGCCCCCTCTGCCTCAGTCTCTGAGGTGTCCCAGCATCACCCCACACAGACCCACAAAAAAATACCCAGGGCGAGTATGGTATGTGCTGAATGACAACTACAACAGCTTTATTTCCAAAGCTGGTTCCCTGGGCTTATGATGGGAAGGCAGCTGTTGGCTGAAGTAGCAGAGCTGTGCGGGCAGGGACAGGGATGGGCAGCTGGCTCTGGAGGCTGGCAGACCCCTCACACTGGCTCCATCTGCAGCTCTTCCCCATCCACGGCCTCGATCTGGTGGAAGGCGGCGTGGGAGCCAATGACCACAAGGGTGGCTCCTGCAGAAAAATGGACAGTTCAGGGCCTTGCTCCCTCTCCTGGTACCCACCCTCCACCCCCACTAGCCAGACGCTGTACTTACCCAGAACCCAGAAGACGGCTGAGCCTGCGCCAGCCAGCCAGAAGAAGGGAAAGGAGACGGCTCCAGCCATAGCATACTGATGGGCTGGGCTCACCTCTCGGCCTGGGGGACAGACAGCATTGGGGCAGCTGCTCTCTCCCAGAGTAACCCTGAATGCCCCTCAACAGTCCAGTGGGAGCCTCAGGATCACCCAAACTCCTCAGGCCAAGGCCCTCCAAGTCCAGGCCGACCCGTGTCTCCAATGTCTTCACTGTCAGCACACCTTCCTCAGCCCTCCCCCTGCCTCCAACCCCACTTCCTCTGGGAAGCTCCCGGCTCCCACTCCCCCCAGACTAGGGCTCTCCTGCTCCAACCTGCTCTTATACAGACCAGGAATCTCAAACTGGTGGCCCAAGGGCCAAGTCTGACCTGTAAACGCACAATGTTCCCCAAGAATTTGACTTGAGGCTGACAGAGAAACCAAATTACTTCACGTAACAGCACAGACTTCTGGTTTCTCCGCAGACTAGGACAGATGTGCAGACCCCGGGGCGGCAGCAGCTGACACCAGGCCGAGGCTGTGCTCCAGCCGCTCCCTCCATGCCCTGACCTTGCTTACCATCCTGTCCACCGGCCCACCTTTGTCAAGCACATAACCTGCAGACCCCTGTAGGACTACCTGCTTATCTGATCCCAACACCTCCCTATCCCCACTCCAAACCTTGAGCACCCCCACCCAGGGACTCAGGCCCCTTTCTTCCCAAGGCCTCAGCTTCCCTGAGAAGTCTCAAGATTTTTCTGATCCCACCCTATGAGGCAGGACAGGGATGGGGACAGATCTAGGCCAGCGCAACGTCGCCACCTGGTGTCCAGTGTGGGTGTCTAAAGCTGATGCTTTCCTCAAAGAGTAAGTTTAAGGGACAGAAGCAGGTGGAGAGTGGGTTCCGGGTATCTCATCCTAGGTTTGGGGAATAAAAATGTGGGTGGCTGAGTCTGAGTGGAGCATCTGGTGCGTCTGAGATTTTAGGGTTTGGGGGGGTCTGGTGTCGATATAGGCGTGGCCAGACTTGGGTTTGGGTTCTCAGGCTTTTGTTCCAAGAGACCAGGATTTGAGGGTCTAGGGTCCCTAGACTCTAGGGATCCATTTGCAGGGGATTTCTCACCAAAGAGTACGAGCTTGGACTGCAATGTGCGCAGATAGAGGATGTAACAGGCACCAAAGAAGACGGCCAGGGCCACCAGCAGCATGGGAGACGTAACCCTGCAGGAGGGCGGGGAGGCATTGGTCAGGCAGTCGGGTCTGGCCCAACCAGGGGGACCCGGACCTTACACCCGCGGATGGCGGCTATGTCCTTGTGGTCTGGCAAGTTCAGGTCACATTTGGTCAAACTGGACAGGCTGATTGGGAAGTAGGGACCAGATCTTTGGTGAGAGTGGCAGAGCTGGGCCTGGCCAGAGAGAAGATGGGCTGGCCGCTGAGGGCTGGGCCGACCAGCAAGACCTGGTGGGGGCGGGGCCTGGC